TATATATATATATATATATATATATATATATATATATATATATATATAAGATCGTGAAAGACATCTAAATATAATATATAATTTCTCTCAAATTCTAAGTTACCTTCAGGCATCACTGTAAAACTTCACCTTACCTTTGCGTCTTCCACTGAACAAACATCTAATGAACCAAGAGCAGACATATCTTTTGACAATACTGAAACCTGTGAGAAAAACAGGCAAAAATAACCAAAAAAAAATGGCATGCATCTCATTGTAGTTTAAAAAGATAAAGATTAAAATAACATGCACAAATCCGTACTAACTAATGAATGGGGATCTAACACACCTAAGATATTCGTGTCTACCAAACGGCGATCCGGAGACTAAGGCCTATTACAATAACAGTAGCAATGACATCATACTCTTAGCCGAAGGGGGGGAGGGGCGGGGGTATGAACATGAAGAAAAAGGAAAAGAAGAAAAAAAGGGGTAATTTTCTTTCCTTTTTTCTTTTCTCTTCTCTTCCTCTTCGGATCTTAAAAAATATAAAATCCGAAGAAAAATGAATAAAGAGCAAGATAAAATGTTAAAGAGAAAAAAAATCCCCCAAGGCATTCTAAATCGCCAGAGGGATGACTACGAGATACGAGGCCATGGAGGGGTCAGGGGGAGTGGGAGGGGGAGGGAGGGAGAGGGGTCTAAACCAACACGACCTACCAACATGCCGTATAAAGGCCACCAGGATACGATGGCCTCGTGAACCAAGATGACCTACAACGTACATGAAGGGGGTGGGTGGAGTAGTGGGGGAGGGGGGTGAATAAAACGGAATATTAACTATACCGTAAACAATAGACTCGGCAGTATTTGGATAAAACTACTGTAGATAGAGCACTTAGAAGTGTTCGCACCGCACACAAAAAAATGTGCTGACATACATGGGTAAAAGATGGGGGAGCCTACGCAGGTAAACCTCACTCTGGAATAATGCACTTAGAAAATGTATCATTTCCCAAGTCGCATTAAACATTACACTGTTCATACTTCATAAACCACGTGAAAGCCAAATAAAATATGACGAAGCGACTTGGTTTTAATCTAGTCTACAAGCCTATGGTGCAACAATACGACTATAATGCAACGTAACAAGAACCTCTATGCATTATCCCAGGTGAAGAGGCCCACCGGCTGTACAGCATCTGGATATATACTAAAGACAGAGGCAACAATGGAACGTCTAAATCGACGATCTACGAAACTGGCTAACTATATGGGTACACCGGACGGACAAAGTCGAACAATGGGCGCTGGGTGAGGATTGGAGAGGGGGAGAGGGGGAGAGAGGGCACAGAGGGTTGTACTAGAGGGGGAGGGGGTCCTGGAGGGGTGCTAGAGGGGGTGACAAGGGGCGTGGAGCAGCTCACCAGTGTCGTGAGTCCCGCGGCCAACTGGATGTGCTAGAATAGACAGATCACAGTCACTTTCAACACAGCACGCCACTAGTTCTGTCTCGGTTCAACTAGTATGGAACACCAACCCTCACTTTTATAGTTTTCTTTTTTTCTTTTTAACTTGTGGTGGTGGAAATTTAGGGTTTACTTGCTGACTACTTCTCGGATAAACACTAGTGAACATATATAGCACCAACAGATAACCGAACAAAAGAAAAAAAAAGAGGGACAGATTCTTTAGGACTACTTATAACACGGTGAATTACAAGTGTGGGACTACATCCACACTGATATATCAAATGTCACAGTTAGTGTGTCACACTTTTAACAGATATGTTTAGGGGGATTTTGACTGACAGTTTATTTATAGCTTTTAATGCGCTCAAACCGTGGATGCAACAGCGAGCGACTGGGTAAAACCTCCTTTGACGTACACGCGAAATATTTCAACTTTGCATGTAAGGCTAATGGCACAGTGCAATAACACAATGGTTTAATGAGCATGCAAAAAAAAAAGGACCTGAGCTGCCGCATATGGAACTAAAACGTTGGTTTGTTGGCAGGTTTATTGGAACAAGCTCAAGTATCTGAACAAAAGATCTCAGACTGTACACATCCAATCACAACATGCCTGTCCATGTGTTCACACCGAATCCTGTGTTCAATGTGACTCAACCACACCAACCCGGGAGCGCTTTAACACATAGCAGGCACGAGGCAGGCGAGGCAGACTGGCCGAATTTATATCAACAGAGAAACCCAGACGGCGTTCACGGAGGAAGCCGCCCATGCATACAACGCCGCCCTAGGAAATTTGTCGGCTGCACGTGCTCGATTATGGCGGAACTCATTCCATACATGTTATCTAATGTCCCATAGTGGACTGGATATTGGGGGTATAAGATGCGGAACTTTTATCTCGTCACGAACAGTTGACCAGCAATAATGAAAATGATCAGCCCTAAAGCATGGTGCAAATATCTAATAGATTTTTTTAATACGTCATATCATGATAACATTTTATGAAAATAAAGCCTTGGAAACAGCTTCTAGTGAACTTCCTAAAACGATAAAATACAAAAAGAAATACAAAGAGAAAACAAGACAAAAGAACCTAATATATAACTGACACGAACGAAGTAAAGTAGGCCTACGTAAAATGTCAAACCGATGCAATATTCATCTCATCGGCGTACTGCAAGTCCCCCTCAATTCACTCTCTTATCACACTATGTTATCCTATTTTTCTCAGCCAAGGCTTTTCCAGAGAGCCCCAAAACGTAACCCAAAAATCGGCCTGTTGTCTTGAATAAACACACCTACCCTTTTCCCCTCCTCTTCCCTTCTTTTTCTCCTTCTTCCTTCTTCAACATCACGGAGCGAGTTTACGATCTTTTTTTGCTATTCAATCGAGTGTCTGACTCGGAGGAAAAGGAAGAAAATGAAGCGGAAAAGGGGGGAAGGAAAAAAGACGAAAAGCCTCGCTCATAGACGCCATAAAGGCGAAATAATAATAATAATAACTTTACTAACAATAACTTTAATAATAATAACAGAATTAAAACTACCTAACACTATAATCACCCGCTGAAACAACCACGCCACAACAATCAATTTTCTTAAATATCCGCGTAAATCCTTCACCATCTCTATAAAACACAAACATAATAAAAAACAGAGAGAGAAACGGATGTCACTTACCTTGGGATTCTTGAGCTTGGAGCAGTCCGAAATCTGGTCCTTGCAAGAATTCTCGTGCACGCACACCTGGCAAGCTGCGAAAAGAGAAGGGAAAAGATGCATGGATTAGAAAGAGGAGGTGGTGGTGTTGGAGGAAGAGGAAGAAGAAGAGGAGGAGGAAGAGGAGATGGTGGTGGTGGAGTCGGAAGTGGTGGTGGAGGAGGAATAAATTGTTTCGGAAGAAATATATAACATATAATGATGATGCTGATGATGACGACGATGGCGGTGGTAACATGATAATGATGGTGAGTGATATGATGATGATACCGAATAATGATAAAAGAAGATGCAAGATGATTAACGATCACTTCTGTGTACCAGACCCGAGTGATAAATCGAAGGTCAAGGAAATGCCACTCTCATGTCATAGTCCGGCTGATATTTTACACAAAGGAGGAAATTTGGGACATCGGAAGCCAGGCCGGATAATGCACACCATTCAAAAAAAAAAAAAAAAAAATCCATAAATGGTAATATGCGAAAAGAAAAATACATACTGTATAGAAGAATTACAGAAGAAAATAAAATTAAATGAGAGAAAATGAAATGTTTAGGTGATATATAGTAACTTTCAAAATATTTTTCTTCTTCTCTGCCAACGTTACCATTAATGCAATTACTTTTATTAGTATACATATACATATTTTCACCCCTATTATCAGTAATTATAAATATATATATATACAATATATATATATATATATATATATATATATATATATATATATATATATATATATATATATATATATATATATATATATATATATAAATCAACCTCATAATACTGCCCGCGTCCCGACGACGATGACATAAAAAGTTGTATCGTTTGTGATAGATGTCTAATGCTTGGATACTCTTCCACCATTTAATTTGATCTTCTTTATCGTTATGTAAACTCTTTATCTATCTCTCTGTCTCGTTCATCCCGACTCACTCACCAGTGAGTGACAGATCACATGAGTGACATGATCACATCCTTATTCTCTCCTCTTCCATCCATCCCTCCTTCCTCTCTCTCTCCCTTCCGGACCAAGAAAACGTTAGAATCCAAAAGGGAAAAGAGACTTGCAAATCACCTACCTCTCTCCCCCCCCCCCCCCCCCCCCCCCCGGTCCCACGAGCAGTGCAGTCGGCCGTTGCATTAACATTTTAATATCCAGAGTAAATATCCGGTGTTCAAGATGTTGTGAGAAGGAGAAAAAGGAGGAGGAAGAAGAAGAGAAGGAAGAGGAAGAAGAAGAGGAGGAGGAGGAGGAGAAGGAGGGAAAACGAGGAAGAGGAGAAGGAAGGAAAACGAGAAGGAGGAGAAGAAAAGGAGCAGGAGTAGAATAAGAATCAGAAGGGATGGTGGTGGAAGAAGCGGAGGAAGAAAAGAAGAGGAAGAGGAAGGATAAGTAGACGTCCATCCGCGCACGTCCTTCCGACACCTTGTTAGCACGCGCGAGAAAGCGAGCGATTTTTCAACTGAACAACACGAGGTTCATCTTGCCTTGCATGTAAAGACGGAAGGAGGGAGGGGGAGAGGAGGAGGAGGAGGAGGAGGAGGAGGAGGAGGAGGAGGAGGAGGAGGAGGAGGAGGAGGAGGAGGAGGAGGAGGAGGAGGAGGGGGAGAAGGAAATAGAGGGGGGAGGGGGAGGGGGGGAGGAGGAAGAAGGAAAAAGAGGGGGGAGGAGGGGGAGGAGAATGGAGGGGAGAAGGAGAAAGAGGAGGAGGAGAAAGAGGATGAGAAGAATCAGGAAGAGGAGGAGGAGAAAGAGGAGAGAGAGGAATAGGAAGAGGTAGAAAAGAATGAGGAGGATGAGGAAGAGGAAGACAAGGAAGGAGAGGAGGAGGAAGAGAAGGAGGGAGAAAGGGGGGAGGCTGCAGCCCTTTGTTCCTTGATGAAAAGCACACTAAATCCTGGAGCGAGAGCCTCTACTCTCCGAAATGACCGAGCGAGGAAGCCATTTTTCGGCCACTGGACCTACCTTCGCAGAGGGAAGGAGGGAAGGAGAGGGAGGGAAGGAAGGAGAGGGAGGGAAGGAATGAGGGAGAGGGTGGGAGGGAAGGAGGTGAGGGGAGGGAGGAAGAGAGAGGAGGGAGGGAGGGAGGGAGGGAGGGAGGGGGAGGGAGGGAGAGGGAGAGGGAGAGAGAGAGAGAGAGAGAGAGAGAGAGAGAGAGAGAGAGAGAGAGAGAGAGAGAGAGAGAGAGAGAGAGAGAGAGAGAGAGAGAGAGAGAGAGGTGGGTGATAAGGAGGGATCAGAAATTTGATGAATATAGATAAATAGCGACACGATAACACAAATCTCCCCTTGTGATCTCCGCAGTCAGGGACCAGCGCGAGAGTGAAAGCAGTGTGGTAATAGAGAGTGAGGGAGAGGGAGAGGGAGAGGGAGAGGGAGAGGGAGAAGGAGAGGGAGAAGGGAGAGAGTGAGAGAGAGTGAGAGAAAGAAAGAGAGAGTGAGAGAAAGAAAGAGAGAGTGAGAGAAAGAAAGAGAGAGAGAGAGAGAGAGAGAGAGAGAGAGAGAGAGAGAGAGAGAGAGAGAGAGAGAGAGAGAGAGAGAGAGAGAGAGAGAGAGAAGAACAGCCTAGCAGAGACCGAGAGGGAAAACCGAGCCGACGCCGAGAGGGCAGAAGGGAGGAAGCAGGAGGAAAAGACAAAGAAACGCGGGGCAGAGGCAATGAATAATAAAGCGCCTCCGAAAGGGTAAAGGTAGACTCAATCTGGGCGTCAACTTCCTGGGTGAAACAAGTGACATTTTCGGATTTTCGAAGAGCACAAAACGGGCCGGGTACTGCGAGGATCATGATGATTTTGATGATGATGATAAAAAACAAGTAATAACAAGGATGATGATAACAGTAGCAGCAATATCAACAGTAATAATTAAGATAATAAAGATGATGATGATGATGATGATGATGATGATGATGATAATGAGGATGCTAACAATGACAGTAATATACTACTACTACTACTAGCAATTATAATAATAATAACATTATACTAATATTAATAATAACAACATTACAATGATAATAATAATAACAATACAAATAAAAATAATAATAACAACAAGAACAATAATAATGCGCTAAAATCAGCATCCACTAACAACAACCATTCTGCACAAGGCTGCAAATGACGTTCAGTAACGCAAACTCTTTCCAGCAGGGAACCTATCTCCAACTTAATCGTCTTATTAAAACTATTATGGTAAGACTTCGCTTCTCCTTCGTTTTCTTCTTCTTCTTCTTCTTCTTTTCCATTGGCTTTCTTTCGCTTGCAGTATTTACTGAAGAATAAAAATCAACACAGGCCAGGAAATAAAAAGTGCCAGCGTACAGACTCTCTCTCTTTCTCACTTACCCTTATTCTCTCTTCTTTCCTGTCCCACTTTTCCCTCTGTCTGTCTGTCTGTCTGTCTGTCTGTCTGTCTGTCTGTCTGTCTGTCTGTCTGTCTATCTATCTGTCTCTCTCCAGAAGATCAAAATGCCAGACGAAGGAGGCATAACACACAAGAGCAATAAAAAAGAAAAGAAGGAAAGGGAAAAGGAGAAAACAGAATTAAGAAAACTCTAACGCCATGCAGTGTACACTCCACCTACACTGGGCAATAGGAAGGAGGGAAGAAAGGAGGGACGGAGGAAAGGAAGGAAGGAAGGAAGGAAGGAAGGAAGGAAGGAGGAAGGAAGGAGGGAGGGAATGAAGGAGGGAAGGAAGGAGAGATGGAAGAGGAAGAGGAATAGGAGGACACAGAGAACGACGACGGAAGAGCTGAAAAAGAACAAGACGAACACGATATCTCAAGACATTACAAGACAATGTGACGTATCTCAAGACGACTCGGAGAAGCGACAAAAAGAGGAAGAGGAGGAGAGGCTGTTCAGCAACGTCGTAATTCAGTGTCTATTGACTCCTATTCTTCCTACTCCTCATACATCTCCTTCTTCTTCCTTCTCATTCTCCTTCTCCTCCTCCTCTTCCTCTTCCTCTTTGTCATCCTCGACTTCCTGAGAGAGAGAGAGAGAGAGAGAGAGAGAGAGAGAGAGAGAGAGAGAGAGAGAGAGAGAGAGAGAGAGAGAGGAGAGAGAGAGAGAGAGAGAGAGAGAGAGAGAGAGAGAGAGAGAGGAGAGAGAGAGGGAGAGAGGAGAGAGAGAGAGAGAGAGAGAGAGAGAGAGAGAGAGAGAGAGAGAGAGAGAGAGGAGGGAGAGAGAGAGAGAGGAGAGAGAGAGAGAGAGAGAGAGAGAGAGAAAGAGAGAACGCATCACCCAAACGGCGCCCGAATTATAATCCTCAAAATTCCTGCTTGAAAACGGGACGAGATGTGCGCGCTTCTACTCTTGCCCGTGTCTCCCGGAGCGCTCGAGTGCTCTCGTAACGACGGCGTCTCTTAACCGGCGGAGGCAGCGGCTTCTAATCGCTTTGCATGGTGTGCACTATTTCAACCTTTTTTCTCTCTCTCCTCTTCGATTTCGAAGAATTTTCGTTTTGCTTTGTCCTGTATTTGTCCCCATCTCCCTTCTACGGTATCGGTCTCGCCCGAGCGCATTTGCAAGAACATACACACACACACACACACACACACACACACACACACACACACACACATGCAGACAGACAGAAAGCTGCTCACGCCTTTTCCAGGAAATCAAAACAAACGCTTAACTAACCAAGAGCTCACACATTACACGCACTTTCGCAGACAAAGGAAAAGTGTTTTTTTGGGCCGTTGGTAATACGACCTTTTTTCAGTTTTGTTCCAACTGTTTCTGACTGACTGACTGACTATCTGACTGCTGATAAACGACCTTCTTTCAACTTCGTGTTGTGTATCTGACAGGTAACTGACTGACTGTTGACCGACGGACACTTTCTTTCTCTCTCTCTCTCTCTCTTTCTTTCTCGTTTATATGTGTATATATGTGTGTGGTAGCAAATAATCTCTCTCTCTCTCTCTCTCTCTCTCTCTCTCTCTCTCTCTCTCTCTCTCTCTCTCTCTCTCTCTCTCTCTCTCTCTCTCTCTCCCCCTCTGTCCTTTTATCAACCTCGAATATACGCTACCACCTCCCTTTCCATTCCATCTCCTCCCCTTTCGTTAACATCCCCTACCGTTTACATCCTTCCTTCGTGATGGCCAACGCCAGTCTGCTTCCCTCTCCCCTCTCCCCCTCTGATATAGTTGTAGGGCCATCACGTCCATAACTAGCGCGGGGCCACACCTGTACAAACACTCGTCTCGTTATCGTGGCCATAAATCCCTTGCTGCGACATTAGCATAACTCGACCGTCACAAGAAGCCGTCGCTGCCGTAGCTAGATTCAAGTGTACTTGTATGGCGATATCATAACGGTCTTCTACCATACCTTACATTACCGCTGTTGACTTTTTTTTTATAACCAATAAACCTAGACGCAGATAATAAAGTTCATATTATAACGTCAATAAAGTCAATAAGTTTCATACAAAACTGACCCCAACACACATCAATCTATCCCTCCGTTTTGCACATGCTTAGAGTCGTTGTCATTTGTCCATGGCTACATTTCCTATGCATACTCCGCTCGCAAAGAATTCTATCATCCCCAAGCAGGGTACCATGTCTCCTCTTTAGCATCTTGTCTCCTCTTCTATGCCATGCCCCCTCTTCTGCGCCTTCTTCCACAACAGAAACAGCCCTCCATTGTAACTGCCTCGAAACTCCATTATGCCATATCTTAAACGCACGGATTTTTTTTTACTGTATGTACGAAAAAAACCCGGAAAGTTGTAGGAAAAGATCAAATCCTCTACGAAAGATCCTTCCCTTATTGGGGAAGAGGGAGCAGACGGAATACTCAAAATAACCTATAAAAAGAGAGAAAAAATTGCGGCTCGTGCAGATTCTTGACGCAGCTGTAATCAATATATATATTCTGCGCATTTCTCACGTCGAAGGCTTCATTGTATAAAGGAGCTGGCCAATATCTTAAAGAAATGAGCTCCGCATTCGCGCAGGCAGACCCGCCCGAGGCCAACCAGGACGCATTGTTCCACCGAAAATGCACCGGAATCCATCCAATTATTTTTCGTTCGGCGAATCCATCCCTCCTTTAAAAAAATAGTAATAAGCAAAAATCCGATTTAATCACAGCCTTAATTTTCCAGCACGTGCCAAAGACTTATTTGTATGAAATGAAACATTTATTTGTAATGTTTTACAATTATATTTCTATTGTAGCGTTGTTTGTTCTCCCTTCGTTGTTCGCTATTCATGCAGTTCTGAGATGAACATAACACAACCAAAAGTCAAGACAAATAAATCAATAATTAAACAACAAAAAACATCCCCCAGGAAAAAATCCTGTAGTAAAAATTCCCTAACATTGAGATACAGCAGTCCACATGATCAGGAAAAGGAGGAAAAGGAGGAGGAGAAGGAGGAGGAGGAAGAGGAGGAAGAGGAGGAAGAGGAAGACGAGGAAGAGGAGGAAGAGCAGGAGGAGGAAGGGGGAGGAGGAAGAGGTAGTAAAGAAAGAGGAAGAGGAGGAGGAGAAGGCAAAGAAAGGAGAAGGTAACGAAAGAGGAGGGGGGGAGAGGAAAGGTAACGAAAGAGGAGGAGGAGGAGGTAAAGAAAGGATGAAAAAAAGAAGGTAACGAAAGAGGAGGGGGGAGAGGAAAGGTAACGAGAGCAGGGGGGAGAGGAAAGGTAACGAAAGAGGAGGAGGAGGAGGTAAAGAAAGGATGAAAAGAAGAAGGTAACGAAAGAGGTGGAGGAGGAGGAGGAGGAGGTAAAGAAAGAGGAAGAAGAGGAGGCGGAAAAGGAAAACCGGCCAGCCAGCCGTACGACAAAAGCCGTTCTATATTCATCCAAAAGGAAAACTCCTTAATACACCGTTCATTCGGCGAAAGAGGAAAAGGGAAGAGGGGGGAGGGGTAATGGGGGAAACGAAACTTTAGGCGAAAAAAATCCATAATTACAACGTACAAAAAAAATAAACAAATAAATGAAAAAAACTCAGAGACGCATAGGAAAAAAATACGGTTCTCAGAACAGCAAAGGGAAAAAAATACAAAATACAAAATCTTTTTGACTATTTCGGCATTGTCTTCTTCCCTTCTTTTACCTGCTATTTTCTTCTCAGCGGAGAAGATTCCGGAAGATTTGTCGCTCTCCCTCGATGCATCATAAAGTGCCGCCCAGTCACGCCCGCGAATCAACCATTGGGCGGAAGGGGATGAGAGGAGAAGGGGAGAAGGAAGGGGGAGGAGAAGGGGAGAAGGAAGGGGGAGGAGAGGGGAAGGGGGAGGAGAAGGGGAGAAGAAAGGGGGAGGAGAAGGGAAGGGGAGGAGAGGGGAAGGGGGAGGAGAAGGGAAGGGGAGGAGAGGGGAAGGGGGAGGAGAAGGGAAGGGGAGGAGAGGGGAAGGGGAGGAGAGGGGAAGGGGAGGAGAGGGGAAGGGGAGGAGAGGGGAAGGGGAGGAGAGGGGAAGGGGAGGAGAGGGGAAGGGGGAGGAGAGGGGAAGGGGAGGAGAGGGGAAGGGGAGGAGAGGGGAAGGGGAGGAGAGGGGAAGGGGGAGGAGAGGGGAAGGGGAGGAGAGGGGAAGGGGGAGAAGGGAAGGGGAGGAGAGGGGAAGGGGAGGAGAGGGGAAGGGGAGGAGGGGGGCGGGAGGAGGAGGAGGAGGAGGAGGAGGAGGAGGAGGAGGAGGAGGAGGAGGGGAGGAGGGGAGAGGGGGGAGGGGGAGGGGAGGGGGAGGGGGAGGGGGAGAGGGAGGACGAGGACGAAGACGAGGAGGAAGAGGATGAGGAAAAGGAAAAGTAGAAGGAGAAAGAGCAAAAGGAGGTAGAGGAAAATGAGGAAGAGGGGTGAATGAGGAGGAGGAGAAGGAGAAAGAGCAAAAGGAGGAGGTGCGGGATGAGGAATTGGGAAAATGAGGAGAAAGAAGAGGAAAAGGAGAAAGAGGAAGATGAGGAAGAGGAGGAGGAGGAGAAGGAGGTGAAGGAGGACATAGAGGAGAGAGTGAGGGAGGCTTGAAAGGGAAGATCTTCCTCCGCTTTCCCTTCGTGACAACCCCTCTCGTCAGCGGATTTCAAAGAGATGGGGGGAGGGGAGGAGGAGAGGGAGGGGGCGCTGAACTACATCGGCATTACCTTTTTCCCTTCAGCGCAGTTTTGTAACGAGGATAAAAAAGGAACAAATATAAGAACAAATATAGGAAGCATCGAAAGAAGACGTAGAAATAAACAATAACCTGCGAAACAATCAGATACCACAAAAAAAAAAAGAAATGGATCTGATCACAAAAATGACAGAACAAACGAATCGCAAAAGAGACTTACAGAGGAAAAAGAAGAAAGAGACGTCTTAAGTCAAAGAAAATACCCGACACAGAAGGACAGGGACGACACGTAGCCAGAACGCACGCAGACAAAAGACACGCAAGCGAGGGCACTCACAGCTAACGAAAGATACGTGGCCAGGACACACACACACACACACACACACGAAAGCCACGAAGACAGAAGGTACACACGGACGAAAGACACGTGGCCAAGACACGTGGCCAGGACACACGCATTCGAAACCCGAGGATACTTACTTTCACACCTGAGGGCTGGCTTGTTGGTCATGGGCTTACTGCAAACGTCGCACGTGGCTGAGTTGCTGTAGCAAACAGACACGAACTGGTGGGAACTCTTCTTGATTTTGTCCTGCGGAAACGGAGGAATAAAAGGAGAGCGAGTTAGTTGGTGATCACAAATGCTGTTTCGGACTTCTGGAAGGGTCCATTACCCAACTCTCTTTCTCTCTCTCTCTCTCTCTCTCTCTCTCTCTCTCTCTCTCTCTCTCTCTCTCTGTGTGTGTGTGTGTGTGTGTGTGTGTGTGTGTGTGTGTGTGTGTGTGTGTGTGTGTGTGTGTGTGTGTGTGTGTGTATGTGTGTGTATGTGTGTGTATGTATGTATGTATGTATGTATGTATGTATGTATGTATGTATGTATGTATGTATGTATGTATGTATGTATGTATGTATGTATGTATGTATACATATATATATATATATATATATATATATATATATATATATATATATATATATATATATATATATATATATATATAGACAAGTATATTCATGCTTATGACTAATATACATACTTGTATACATTTTTGAATGTATGTATGAATGTAAATGTACATGCATATATGCATGCGTGTAAGTATACCAATAATCATTATCTATTTATTTACTGTATGATGAATGAATAAATAAATAAATAAATATATATATATATATATACATATATATTAATTTTATCCATCAGGATGACTGCTGCGAAACTTCTAAATTGCAGGCAAACTTGTCTCACAATAAGACAAATATATAATACAAATACAAATAAAATAATAATAACAATAATAATAATAATAATAATAACAACAATACTAATAGTAACATAGCAGTAATAAAAAGCCCCCAAAAGCGGCGGCGACTGGATCTCGGTCCGAGGAAGGGAACTCGCGAAACTCCTGCCACTAAGCCAGCCAATAATACCGCGACGCCGACCTTAATTCTCACCTTTTTCTTCCGGAAGAAAATCGAGCCTCTTTTTCTCCTCTTCGTCGAACCGTCTTCCTCGTCCGGGAAGCTGGATCTGAAACAAAACAATTTTCAATTTAGTTTGTTTTTTTTTCGTTTCAGTTTTCTTCCGATTTTTTTTCCTCAGTATTTTGCCATACTTTCTATTTTTCTTTTTTTTTCATTTCTCTCTTCATATTCCTTCAAATGTTGACTCTAGAACCACTTTATATTTCCTCAATTTTCCCCTAAGTATTCTCTCTCATATTCCCTTCGTTTTCATTCTCTTTAATTCGTGACGTAGCACCAAGCCACGCCCCCTGCCCAACCTTAGCCCACCCACCCATCCGCGGCGGTGTTACGTCATCACGGCCACGTGTCAGCGCATCCTGACGCGGGGACTAGCACAAGCTCTCATCGCCAGCTGACGGTGTTCTTGAGCTGTCGTCTCTGCGTGTTTGCCCTCGATTCATGTTTTTTTTTTCTTTTATTCTCTTTCCCTTCTCCATTCTATTTCTTTTTCTTTTGATTAATCTCTTTGGTTATGTCCCTGTCCCTGTTCTTGTCACTATCTGTCTCTGTCTCTGTCTCTGTTTCTCTCCCACCGAATGAAAATACAAGCCATATAGCTTTACCCCAAGCGCAGAATATAATCGAAACCAGCCAACTTTAAGGACTATTCCCCCTGGAAGAGAGCTTATACAATTTCCCGAACTCCTTTCGCATGTTGAATCCCCCTCCTTCCTTAACCCACCTACACCCCCACCCCCCTCCTATTGAGATATCTATCCCCATCCTTTTTTTCTCCTCTGTATTGCAGCGAGAGGCTATACTGAAGGGCATGAAGACTGACCCTTAACACCACTTTCCTTCGTTATGCATTTTGTCGTATTTTCTTCCTTTTCTCTTTCCATTGCTGTCTCTGTCTTTCTCTTTCTTTCGCCCTGCATCTCCACGCTTTCCTCTCTGTCTCCCTTTTACCTCTCTTTCTCTCACTGTCACTCTTTCCTTCCTTCCTTCTCTTACTCCATCCTTCCAGTCCTCCCTCCTTCCTTCCTTCAATCCTTCCTTTCCTTTCCTTACCTGCCTACCTTCTCCATTTTCCCTCTCTCTCCCCTCCTTCCTCCTTCTCCCTCCTTTCTCCTCGCCCCCCCCCTTTCCCCTCTACCTTTATTCCTTCCCTTCCTCATTCTCCCCCCCCCCCTCCTTTCCTCTTCGATGACATCATTTGTTTACTCAAAAGGCGAGACGAAAGCAAAGCCTTGAATCGACCTCTGCCTCCGCTGGTACAGTTACTAACAAAAATAGAAGAAAAGCAGAGAGAAAGAAAGGATAAGAAAAGAGAAAGAGGAAGAAAGGATAAGAAAAGAGAAAGAGGAAGAAAGGATAAGAAAAGAGAAAGAGGAAGAAAGGATAAGAAAAGAGAAAGAGGAAGAAAGGATAAGAAGAAAGAAAAAATACGACAAAAATAAAGAAAAAGAAAGGATAACAAAAGAACAAAGAAAAAGATAAAAAAGAAAGAAAGAAAGGATATGAACAAAGGGAAGAGAAAAAAAGGATAAGAAAAAAAAAAGAAAGAAAGGATATGAAAAAAGGGAAGAGAAAAAAAGGATAAGAAAAAAAAGAAACGATAATAAACGAAAGTGAGAGAAAGGATAAGAAAAAAGGAAAGAGAAAGAAAGGATAAGAAAAACGAAAGGAGAGAGAAAGAGAGAAAGGATAAAAAAGAAAGAAAAAGAATGAATAAGAAAAAAAAGGAATAAGAAAGAAGGAAAGAAAAAGAAAGGATACGGAAAAAAGAAAGAGAAGGAAAGGATAAGAAGGGAAGAAAAAGAAAGAATAAGAAAAAAGGAGAAAAAGGATACGATACAAGGAAAGAGAAAGGATAAAAAAGCAAAGAGAAAAAAAGGATAAGAAAAAGGGAAAAGAAATAAAGGATACGGAAAATGAAAGAGAAAGAAAAGAAGAAGAAAGAACGGAGACAGAAATACCAGAAAAAAAACAGACGGAAATTAAAAAAGATCGAAACGAGAGAAACCACGAAAGAAAGAAAATATACGAAATGAGGGAACCAAATGATAGAATAAAGGGGAAATGGAAGAATGGGGAATAACCGAAGAAATGACTGAACGAGAGAGACCAGATAGTCGGTGGTGAATAGACTTACTTCAGGCAATTTAGTGCAGAGGGAGTACGCAAAATGCACCGCCAGGAGGGGCAGCTTCCCCGCACCTGTATTGGAATTTCTCATTTTCTCTCCTCTCCCTCTCTCCGCTCCATTACTCA